GTAGCGCGGCCCCCAGCTCCGCCGCGGCTCTGCGGGTCGGTCCTGGGCCAGGCTTCTCAGTCCGTCGCCCGCCGCCGCCGACGCCATGGCGGCCCCCGGCTCCCTGGCCGAGTGCGGCTACATCCGGACCGTCCTGGGCCAGCAGATCCTGGGCCAGCTGGACAGCTCCAGCCTGGCGCTGCCCTCCGACGCCAAGCTGAAGCTGGTGGGCAGCGCCGGCCGCAGCGGGCAGGCGGCCCGGAGCCTGCGGATCCAGGAGCAGGTGCAGCAGACCCTGGCGAGGAAGGGCCGGGGCTCCGTGGCCCGCGGTGAGTGGAACGCACCCCGTCCGGACCCGCCGCCCTCCGGAGTGCGGCACCGGGCTTCTGCCCACCTGTTGCCGGTGCCACCTCCAGACCGGGGACCCGCACGCTCGGGGAGCGACGGCCCCGCCATTCCCCCTGGCGGGGTCTTCCCAGGGCGTCGTCTGTGTGCATGCTACGTGCGCGTCTCCATGTGGAAGAACGCAAGGCCAAGGAGTTCATCCGGAGACCAGAGTGTCTGCCTAAAGCTAAGCAGAATGCTGTGCATGATCTGTTTTTTTTTCTTTAAATCCATTACCTCCATGAATATTCTTTTGAAAGACAAAATCCCACTGCCCTTCCTATCACCTGTAATTCAGGAGAGTGCCACTTCTCCCAGGTAGTCCAGAGCAGTCTGACCTAGGAAGTGATCCCATTGGGTAGAAGGCTCTGGCCCTGGCCGCTGCCCCACTCCTGGGAGGAGGAGGAAGGGGACTTTGGCCTGGCTGGCAGCACCCTGCGCTGTAGTGCAGGCTGCTTGTCCCCACCCACCCAGTGCCACGCATGTACGTGTGGGTGCAGGGCTTGTATCCAAAACATGAAACCCACAGTTTTAGCTGTAGGTTAGGGAGATTTAGGAGGGGAGGATGGCAAACCAGTTGTGAAAATTAGCTGAATGTCATGCAGCCTTTTCTCCCTTGCCCAAGCGATCAGAAAGACAGCGTGAAGCTTTAGTGAGGTTTTGGGATGTTCCTGTGCCAGTACTGGGGCTTGAATCAGTCAGACCCTGAGTGCTGTCTTTTTAGCTTTTTCACTGAAAGGTGGCACTTTACCATTTAAGCCACAGATTCCACTTCCAGCTTTTTGCTGGATAATTGGATGAAAGAGGCTCATGGACTTTCCTGCACAGGCTGTCTTCAACTTGCAATCCTCAGATCTCAGCTTCCATAGTAGCTAAGATTACAGGCTTGAGCTACCAACACGTGTCAAGTGGGTTTTGTTTTAAATCATTATTTCAAAGTGCTGTAGGTTTCTTACAGAGAAAAGGGAAGATTAAGAAACAGAAGTTTAAATTGGGTTATCAGTTTTTTTCCACACTATTGAACTATGGACATAACTTGGTCAATGACCAACTAGGGTTTAAAAAAGTATACAAATACCCAGACTATAGACATAAACCTAAGCTGTAGAGCCTTTCTATAAAGAAACCTAAACTATCAGGCCAGCATTAATACTTACATGCTTGAAAAGTAAAAAAAAAAAAAAGATAATGCTTGAGGATTGTAAGCCAGTATTAGCTGAGTGACTATATTGGGTCCAGAATCATGTTCTGTGATGTGCATTTTCAAAAAGAGAATTGGGAGGTGGGTATGTTAATTCCCATTTCACTATAAGCAGCCCAGTAACCCTCACATTTCCACCTAGATTAAGTAAATGGCAGAGCTGGTTGTTTAATTTCCAAATCTGTATTTCTTAACAAAACATGTAGTTGTACAATGTTGTCTCAATTCAACCTCTTAGTTTCTGAGTACAATGCATTTGCTCAGTGTCATCTTTTCCACCGTTCTCCCCCATCTCTCCCAACCCCACCCCTCCCTGGTTCAGTTTTCACACTTGTACTGTTGAATATTATCACTTATTCACCCATCCTTCCTCCCTCCAGTTGTCTGCCCCTTCCTATGACCTCCCCTGTAACACATGTTTCAGTTTTCTGGTACTCATTTTGTTAAACTTTTAGTTGTTCAAAGGAGCTACACCATTGGAATCATCCATTGAGTATACTACCATCCTTTAGTCAATTCCTTTGTGTATATATGCAGATGACCTTGTGCATGCCGAACCTGACCTTTTCAACTGCTCATCAGTTATATCATTAACGGTTTTGATTGTTAGTATGAAGTAGGAATTGTTAGAATGTGGAGTCCGTTTGTGGCTTCTTCTCAGTTTTCTTTAATTACAATTTGAAAGGCTAAGGAGGTATAGACTGCAAATATCTGCCAAGGTACATGATTAAAAATAACAGTCTGGTGCTGGTGGCTCACTCCTGTAATCCTAGCTACTCAAGAGGCTGAGGCCTAAAGATCACAGTTCATAGCCATCCCAGTCAGGAAAGCCCAAGAGACTGCTATCTCCAGTTAACTACCAGAAAACCAGATGTGGCAATGTGGCTCAAAGTGGTAGAGCACTAGCCTTGAATGAAACAGCTCAGGGACGGTGCCCAGGCTAAGTTGCTAGGAGGGAGGCCCACACCTGTGAGCAGCAGAGCCATGACACCCTGAAGCCTGGAGACCCACAGGTCCAGGGTTAAGCTGAAACTAAACTGGGGCACAAAGGATGAAAATTCTTATTCAAATTAAACATGCTTCCTATCCTCACCCAGGAAGAGCAGGCTACTACACAGAAAGGGGTGTGGGGGAGGACCAGTGGACAGAAGCAAAGAAGCCTATGAGCCTCTACTGTGTCCTGGCCCTGTGTTAGAATTCCCTGTGTTCACATTTCTGTATATTCTTGTAGTTGGTTAAAGGAGATAGGTAAGTGAGTATGTGTCTGCCAGCTTTTGCAGGCAGTCCCAGCTGGTAATCCATCCTCCCTCCCACCTACTGTACAAGCTGCTTTGGTGAATTCAGCAGCTGCTTTGTGCGGGTACAGAATCAAGTGCTGAGGACAGATAGACAGCTGTGTACTGGTGGCTCATATGTATAGCCTTAGTTATTCAGAAGGCTTGAGATCTGAGGATCACAGTTTGAAGTCAACCCAAGTACACAAATGCAAGAGACTCTTACCTCCAATTAGCCAGCAAAAGACAGAAGTGGAAGTTGCCTCAAGTGATAGAGTTCCAAGCTTGAGTGAAAAAGCTAAGAGACCATATCCAGATTCTGAGTTCTAGTCCCAGTCCCAACACCACCACCACCACCCCCCCAAAAAAAAACTCACAAAGGACAGACTGGTTGCCTTACGGGAAATAATCCTAAGCAAGCCACAAAAACAGCTAAGTCATAGAATCTAGACATGTAAATTTCTTGAAGCTATAAGGAATATGGAAAACTTTCTGAAGTAATTAGTACTCTGAGTGTGTGTGTGTGTGAGAGAGAGAGAGAGAGAAAGAGAGAGAGACTCAGTCATGTGATCATAGTCTCCCAGACTTTCCTGCCCAGACTGGCTTTGAACTGCAACCCTCAGATCTCAGCCTCCTGAATGGCTAGTGTTACAGGCATGAGCTACCTGTCCCCAGCAAATAATTGGAATTTCTAATTCTCAAAAAGTGAATAGAGTTGGTCTTAGGGTGGTCAGTAAGACAGATCGTTCTTGAAAAATCCCAAGAATAATCCATAGTTCAGAGAATTGATGGGGGAGAACAAAGGTGTGCCATCTTAGGACTTGTGCTGAAATGCTGGGGTAGTTCTTCCAACTAAGGAACAACGCCTCTGAAAGCCTTGGATTTCAACAACAGCTTCCCTGTAAGCTGCCATTCCCTTGTAGCCTACCTGGGAAGAAAACTCAAGCATGAGGAAGAAGAAATCCAGAATGCGTGCATGCAAGGCGGGCTTCTGAGACTCCAGAAGGAATTTAACATTTCACATGCCATGCAGTGATTATCAGGGTTGTTCATAAATGTCCTTTATTTTTTTATTTTTTTGTTGGTTGTGGGCCTAAACTCTGGGCCTGGGCACTGTCCTTCAGCTCTTCAGCTCAAGGCTAGTGCCCTACCACTTGAGCCACAGCACCACTTCTGGCTTTTTCTGCTTATGTGGTGCTGAAGAATCGAACCCAGGGCCTCATGCATGCAAGGCAAGCACTCTACCACTGAGCCACCTTCCCAGTCCCATAAATGTCCTTTAATTGAAGCTCTTTGAAAAGGTCTGGAGTTTCATAATGGTTGTACTTTGTTGTTGTTGTTGTTGCTGCTGGTGCTGCATACCTGTCTCTGAAGTTGCAAGAGACAAAGCAGTTGTTGAAAGCGACAGGGTCTCAGGTATCAACAGAAGACCTTCTGGGCTGGAATGACCCAGTGTTCAACTGCTGTTAGGCAGCCACAGAGCCCTAGAGAAGCCCCAGTTGCTGGCCTACCAGAAAGGGTGAATTAGCTGTGGCTAATCTAAAAGAATTAGAGTGACATGAACATAGCTAAGGTGTAGATAAAAACTTACAAAAGAGTCTTTAACCTTCTTTCCGTGGTCTTCATAAATACATGGGTGGTTTTATAAATCATCCAATGGCTTTTGGTAGTAATTTAAGTTATGCTGAGCATTTTAAGGTTGGCTGTTACTCTGGTGAGGGAAGGTATGGCATTGTGTTGGATGCCAGTTGTTAGGAGGAGGAGAAAGGAAGGAAACAGGCCGGACTCAATCTTCCCCAAAGGAGGACTGTTTATTGAGATAGAGCATCGAGGGGCACAGCCTTCCCTCAGGCTTGGAGACTATGCAAAGAAGTGGGACAGGAGTTGGGTTTTATTTTTGAGGACTAAGTAAGGAGGCAGAGGTTAATGAGAGGTCTAGAGAGGTGGGGGGCTTTTGGTTGGCCCACAATGGAATGTTTACAGCACAGCTTAGATGGATCACCCTCCTGTGTTAGGCACTCTGCACATATCTTGGGTGGCTGGCCTGTTGTCTGTATGCACCTGGGAAAACAGGGTGGGGGTCAACCCTTCACCAGTGGCTCAGATCTGTCATTCTAGCTACTCGAGGTGCTGAGATCTAGAGGATCCTGATTCAAAGCCAGCTAACGCAGACTCATCTCCAATTAGCCAGCAAAAAGCTGGAAGTAGAACTGTGGCTCAAGTGGTAGCACCATCCATGAGCAAAAAAGTTAAATAGCAATGTCCAAGTCCTGAGTTCAAGTCTCTATACTGGAACAAGAAAAGGAAAAGAAAGAAAAAGTTGAAAGTCATAGCAAAGAGAGAATTAAAAATAGCCCATATCTTTTATATTACACCTTAAAAGTATCCCTTTAGGGGCTGGGAAGGTGGCTCAGTGGTAGAGCACTTGCCTTGCATGCCTGAGGCCCTGGGTTCGATTCCCCAGCACCAC